TGCAGTCATAATCGATTGCAATAATGAGGAACACAACGGTCTAAGAGAAGATCTAACCATCATGGTATTCTTGTACCAAAGGGGTGGGGATAACGCCGGCCTGCCAGATCATCAAAAGGAGTAATGGAGTGCCCGAAAGTGAGGACCGCTGCACTATGCATTCACCAGCAGACGAACTGATAGCGGAAGATAACGGAATATAGCGGAAGTAGCCTGCTGTCGAGAAGCGATAGCGCTGTTACCGCTATCGCTATTCCGCTATCCACTCGAACTTCCGCTATAGCTATTACGCCATTCCGCTATTCGCTAATAGTGGAATAGCGGAATAGCGCGCCACTGATGAACTCTGTCATGAATTAGTTTAGTGATTACAGTTATGAGTAGTTTATTCTTTATTTTTAGACTATTATCAGCTATCATAAATGATAAACGAACGAATAGAAGTGAAAGGCGTTCGGCAGGCTTAATTCGACAAATTCAAAGACACAGGCGTTCTTATGTAAAGAAATCTTATCCGAGAAATTGCTATTTCTCGCCGATTCAGTGTTTATTCACAAGAAGCCGATCAAAATAATCGCACCAAAACCATCTGTAAATAAATTTATTTATCGCGGTGAAAGCTCCAAAATGGTACATTTTGTAATCTATTTTATAAATATTATATTGATTGCATCGATGAAAATCATATTGCTTTGCTGAAAGTTTGTTATAAATTTCATGGAATGAGAATGTTACGATTTCAAGCGCAATGAATAGCGCTTCAATTTGAAGGCATTCTAATATATTCATTCATTTTCTGAAGATATGTTGTGATTGCACTCAGTCAAATTTATTCTACAACTTCAATTCCAAATCCATTCAAAACCTCAGTTGACTGAAATTCGCGATGATTCTAAGTATACCCATCTTCTATGATCAGACTATTGATTGTGCAGCATGACCGCCGTTTACTGAAGAAATAAAAGCAACGAATTGCCTATTATTGGGACGGATAAAGCTTAAGCTTTCAAAGCGGATGATGATCTCAAAGCATCGATTCTTCTCTGGATTCCACCTCTCTCAACCAGTCCTTCATCATCAGCAACAACAATTTCAACTGCATATCCTAATTATCCACAACTCAACCCACTTCATCATGTTCTCATGTATTAAATCAAGCAACGCCACTGCTTATAACATTAAATTTTCTTCTTTAATCTTCCTCTTTCATTCTGTTACACCGTTTATTCATTTCATTTGCATTTCTTCAGAGTAACGTACAGTTATCATTTGTTATAAATTCTAACGTAGCTATTTTACATCAACACACACACGCCATTTTAAAGATAATATATTAACAATAGTAATGTATCATACATGATGCTTAGGACGCTACGAATTTGTATGAAAGAAAGAACAGATTGAATATAAATGTATTCATGGCGTTGAAATTGAAACATTGATGAGATTTCGGCTTTTAAACCTAATAGCAGGGGGAGAAAAATCTGCAAACCATCACTTGGTCAGTATAATGCATCTGTGAATCAACAAGACGATGATTCAAGTTAAACAATAATAATACTTTATTATCATTTATTGTTTGGTGCTGTCAGCATTACTGATGTTACTGTAATTATTACAACCTTTTCGAAACACATTTTATTTCCTATATTGCTTTGCTTTTAAAAAAAGCGACAACTGAATGAAGTTATTATCAACTTAAAAGTGAATAAAGACTTTTTCACTGTGGCTCTGATTGCCTTGATTATGCTACTTTATTCTTCTCTAACGATAAGAATGAAATTTTGGAGTTGGTTTCGAGTGCGGTTGAGTAGATGAATTTCGGGTTGATTGTCTATGTTAACCGGAGTAATTTAACCAATGGGTCACTGAAAAAATTGATATTTGAAAAAAGACCATTTTCTTCTATACATTTTGCATATTTGTTCACCAAATATCGCTAATAAATATGTATACATGACATATCTCAATAACTGATTTGCCCTCAAATTTCAGTTTCTCAATTTTCAATGACCATTTGCTAAATTATTCAGGCGAACATAGGTGTCTCAGGTGTTTCGCAAACCTGATCATCATATCCAAAGCAAAAGATCGCTGCAAAGTATTACGATCATGAATCTTATAAAGTTCTGTCGCTGGTAAGAAGTGCTCAGTCAACGAAAAAACTGGATGAACTTGGTGGAGATTCAGTCACCTTTCAAATGCTGTTCAAATGCTGGTGGAAGTAACTAAAGCTCTGAATAATCCGAAGATGGGAATTTTGAATAATGAAATGTTTCTGAAAATACATAATACTTTCCAATTGAATAGTTGAAGTGCAATCACTGTATTCATTTGTTGGATCTGTGAGATACAATTACATATTACGGTTGATTTAGTTAAGAAGATAAAGTTGCTAGACGATTTGATCAACCAAACATTTTCGTGGGTCAAGCTACTATAGTCATGAAACCATTCTCAGAATTCATCAGTTGTGATGGTGTGAGGTAAAAGTGCTGAATAAACTTGCTAATGAAACTTATCATAAAATAAACGAACCACTTGTGAAACAATCATCTTTTATGACATCTAATCATATCCGCTATGAGGCAAATACCCAGCCTAGTGAGGCAGACAGACTCGTGTGTGCTCAATACAAATGCTTATGCTTGACACATGACTAGTGGTTTCCAAGACAACGGCAGTGTGCTGCTCACAGTTGCCGATGCTAGAGTTCAACTCTCCTTCATGCAACTGGCAGTGACCGACTTGCTGGTATTCATAGAACGTTTAAAGTGGAATTTGGTGTTATGCATTTTGCATTTTACTTTATAATTGATTCATTCTCTCAAACGTAGTGGTATAAGTAATCCGAAATTATGACGAAATATCGCACTTTGCATGTGCAACCACTGCGTGACTTTATCTGTGTGTGTGTGTGTGTGTGTGAGTATTGCTCAGATGTTCGAGTGTTACGCAATATTCATTCAACTAAAAATACTTTATTTTAAAACAGTATCACAAAAAATATCACATTAAAACAATTGCAGAGTCACACAACGCATGCCAACTGAAGAATCAATCCGCATTTTACGAAGCACATAAAATAACATAATCGAACAAATGAAATTATGATGAATTGAAGACGAATTCGTATTTTCGTTAAGTTGATCGATACATCAAGTTGTTGCGGTGCTCGGGTGACCGGACGAGTTGGTTCAATTGCACGAGCAAAGACCTTTCATGCATGGCAGTCCGAAACATACGCTCGAATCGTCTGGGTCGCAATCTTGATTCAAACAGAAATTGAAAAGGGCATCGAAAAGACCACCCGTTATTCCGTTCGCTTTGAAACCTGAAATGAAAAGAATTGAATCACAACGACTGAAAAACGTTGAGTGTTGGATGATTCCAATTGTGAGCAAAAATCTTGCGAAATAATAACCACAAAAATCGGTTGTCAGTTATTGACTGGATTATGAAAGCATAAATCCAATCCGAAACTCTAACGAAATGACTGAAACGAATGCACCCTGGAGAATGACCGATGGTGTGTGTCATCGAAATAACGAACCATAAGTCCCAAAACCATATCGTCAGCAAAAGCTTAATTGAAAAAACTAAAGCAGTACGAAAGTGAATAACGAACAAACCTTGATCACAATCGCATCTGAATGTCTGATTATTGCAAGCACCCTCAAGTCCACCGCAATTTGCGTCAGTACGGCACGGTGAGAACGAAGCGCATGCACCACAGTTGCACTTAGCAACATTCAAACCAACGCAGTTCCCTCTGCCGGCTATTGTACTGCAATCCGTGTTGGTAACGCAAGGCAACAACGGAATACAAGTCTCGTTGTCGACACGTTCAATCTCGTCCATTCCACTGCCTTCGTCACTGCTCACGAACACCGCCACATCACCACTAGACTCTTCGGATGTTTCCGTATCATGAGCACTGCAAATCCAACAAATCGAAACTGCTAGCAGCACCACAAAAACAATCGCTTTACACGATTCCATCTTCCACAGATATCCGAGTCGAGTTGTTGTTGTGCGATACTGTATGCGATACTCTCAAGTAATCACCAGTCGAGCCAATCTGAAAGTTTCAATCTACAATACCTACTGTAACTTCGACAACTGGTTCATCCACACGAAAGAACTAAGTTGAAGAATTTCATCAACCAACAAACAGCTCCAACTCTGGAAGCTCAGCTTTGATGTACTTGCACTTAAGAATTTCAAAACAAACCACAACTGATTATTTCAATTTCTCATGATCCCCTGAATCGGAGAACTTCTCACTGAAAACGTGGCCCATAAATTTCAGCTTTTCATAAATCAGTGAAAATAGCAATGACCGCTGCAATTCTAAAGATTCCAATTGTGCAGCATGCGACAGCCCTTCAAACCTAAATATGCTCTCAAACAACCCATTCGAATAAATGGAACATTCCCGATAAGCATCTGCTCTCACGTAACGTCCACTTTGAAAAGCAATCATTAGTCGAAGGTAAAGGTGAATGATTTTCTACGGCTC